GCAGAGGTAATATTAATTAATTAATTGTAAAGTAATATAAAACGGTTTATTACAAATACATAATGTTGATTTAGTAAATCATTGTTACATTAATTTTAATGCTTGTATTATTTTGATAGGAAAATACTTAGGCATGCACAGCGGTTGGCAAACCCTGTATGGTATCGTAATAGTCGACAAACCTTACTTAGATTAAGACAATTACATCCAGAAAAGTTTCAGGTATGTATATATGTATATATATATATATATATATATATATGAATATAGTTTCAAGAATAAAAATCAATATATTTAATTTGTTATTTATACATGTGTTTTACGTTACAGGACATTTGTTTATTTTCGGATGTAGCTGTTCGTTTAGGTAGTAATACATATAGAATGCCAGCACGTCGATTCTTACAAGAATTATTTCTAGATTCTACATTCGAAGCAGTAAGTTATTACAAAAAAAATTATAATTACGATGTGCAAAAGAAGTTTCTAACTTTAACATCCCAATACAGCTTTATGTAGAAGCAGCTGATGTTCTAAAATTAAACGATGGCAATGATGAGAAATCTTTGCGATCTCCCATTTCTGCGGCACTTGAATCCGACTCCCATGTGCCTTCAGAAAGTAAGGTGAATGGAAGACTTACTTTTCCTGAAATTCAGGTAGCGCAGCTAGATGCTGTTGCCGAGGAGACGGGAGGTGATTCCTGTGCAACTCAACAATGCAATAAATCGCAAGAGCTTTTGCGCAAATCAGAACGACGAAGCGATGAGAAAATAATAGCCGAAATTTTAAAACCAGAGGAAAGAATACGTTTATCAAAGAGTTCTGATAGATTATTAAAAGTATCGGGTACAAACACTGCCATCAGCCTTGATTAATAGTCACCATCTTTCAAACAGTTGTAAATATTTTGTATTAAAATAATTATGAAATATAAAATAAATCACACTGCCAAAATCGAACCTAATTATATCTCTACGTGATTGAGAAACAATAATGGAAAATTAATGTAATCCCCTCCCTTAGTTAAGCATGCACCGTGTGGATCACCGTTAGGATAGGTGCCGAAACTAATTTATATTGTCCTTGTCGCATACTGTTGCTTTCCTTGTCTAGCGTCATTAGACAAGGATGGTGATAGCGTGGGACAAGGACAGACATATCTGTGCGGTAGATAAGGAGGGCAACAGCATGAGACACGGACAGACTTATTCACGCCGTAAACAAAGAGAGTGATAGTTGCGACAAGGACAACAATATAAATTAGTTTCATAATAAATTATTAATTAGTTTTATTTAGGTATAAATAAAATTTAGTCGTTTCATGGAAGCTGAAATACTATCATCGCTACGCGATGAGAGTAGAACTAAAATTTATTGCTATCTTTATTGCACAGTATTGTGTTCCTTGTCTATCACATTGCATTAGTCTGTCCTTGTTATATATTATTGCTTTCCTTATCTATGAGATAGATGCTGCCATCTACCAGATTTTTCCTTTTTAACCTTTTAGTTCCTATAAAAACCAAGAGGAGTAGATGGCGATACATGATATGTCTGTCTTTGTCGCACATTAATGTGTTCCTTTTTTGTCAAATAACATAAGTGCTTCATCGTACACTATTGCATTCCATATCAATTAACTGACTGCATCGATCTATTAGAAATTTCAAATCTTTATTTATAAATTTTATAGGTTAAGTAAAATATGAAAAAATATGCAATGAACATGGCAAAAAATTTAGTTCTAGCACTTTCTCACTGCTACTCGGCACTAGCATTTTAGAATTGAACTAAATTTTCATTTACAAAAAATCTAAGAAGATTAATTTATGAACTTTTGCAGCTGTATTTTTGCTTTTAGATCCTAAGCTTCCTAAGATCTTTCTAAGACCTAAGATTCATTTGATTTATAAAATATATACATAAAGATTTACTGATTCTGTTCAATATATTAAAGTACTTATTCTAATAACATTTAATTTCTCTAATTTTTCTTAATTTTTGCTATTGTAAAATATTCTGTTCCATATTCTTTGTAATTTCATAGAAAACTTTAGTTTCATAGAAAACTCAAAATGCATCGGTAAGGTTGCATGTGATCCTAAAACGTGGGCATGAAAAATCACTGTATGTCAGGTCTATTCTGTCATTGATTAATGATATATTTCGTGTGTAATATAAGATAGTGGATTTCTATGACAGGTGGTAAAATAAATGTTATCTTGTAGTCAAATTCGAACCTCTAATTTCATCAATTTTGGATATAATTATTGTAAATGTTTTATTTTATTTGATATTAATATAGTGTTTGTGTCTATGTGAAAGTTATTAATTGTCATTGCTACCAAAGTGCAATGTTCAAATGTTAATGATCTAAAAAATAAAAAAATTCAAAATTTTTTACTTGACTAACAACCATATGCTGGCATCATGTTATATTTGTCTTTTATTATTTAATGTGATATGTATTTTATTTAAAAAAATTTTCAATATCATTAAATCTATAAAAAATAAGGAAATCTTGAATTAAAAACTTTGAATTTTTATACAGATTTCATGAAATATGTCTGAAGGTGGAAAAATTATACTTGTAACGGGTGGAACTGGATTAGTTGGTAGAGCCATCCAAAATGTCATTGAATCAAATAAAAATGAAAATGAGAAATGGATATTTGTTGGCTCTAAAGATGCGGACTTATGGTAATTTATATATCAATTGTTATAATAGATTATTTAGTTGGAGTACAAATAAAACGTATTTTATTTTCAGTGATAAAAAGAGTACAGAGAAATTGTTTGAAAAGCACAAGCCTACACATGTTATTCACTTAGCTGCTATGGTTGGTGGCTTGTTTCATAATATGACACATAATTTAGACTTTTTGGTAAATAAAGTTTTGCTAGTTAGTGTTTTATTGTTATTGAACTGGTTAAATTACATGCTATAAATTTTTAGCGCAAGAATATTCACATGAATGATAATGTGTTACAATCTGCTCATGAAAATGATGTTGTCAAAGTCATATCATGTTTATCAACTTGTATATTTCCTGACAAAACAACATATCCTATTGATGAATCTATGGTAACATTATTTTTTTATAAATTTTTAAGGCTTTATTTTTTATACATGGCTAACTTTAATGTTTATTTCCTTAGATTCACAATGGTCCACCTCATCCATCAAATTATGGCTATAGTTTTGCTAAACGTCTTATAGATATCCAAAATAGAGGTTATTATGAACAATACGGTAGGATTTACACCAGTATTGTTCCATGCAATGTGTTTGGGCCAAATGATAATTTTCATCCTAATGCCAGTCATGTTATACCAGGTTTAATGCGCAGACTTTATGATTTGATAAAAGATGGTATGAAACATTATCAATAAAATTTTTATAAATCATTAATTTTGAAGAATGATATCAATATCTGTTGGCATACTTTTTTAGGAAATACTGAAGATAAAGTATTTACCATATTAGGTTCTGGAAAACCACTAAGACAATTTATTTACAGTTTAGATTTAGCTAAATTAATACTATGGGTGTTGAGAGAGTATAACTCTGTGGAACCAATTATATTATCAGGTAATTAGAAAATGTTAATTAAACGCTGATATGTGTTATTTTAAATTTATCTTTGATATAGTTGACGAATCCCAAGAAGTTACAATTTCTCAAGTAGCTGAGACAATTGCGCAAGCTTTCAATTTCAAAGGGAAATTAGTATATGATACATCTGCTGCTGATGGACAATATAAGAAAACAGCAAGCAATGCAAAATTACGAAAATATTTACCAGACTTCCAATTCACACCATTTAATGAAGCTATTAAAGATACTGTTGATTGGTACATACAGAATTATGATCAAGCAAGAAATTAACGGATGTTAAAGAACTAAATACAAATCCATTCACGCTAAGTGTGGCTGTGTATAAAATAAGAGATACAGGAAGATTACATTAACATTATTTGAAGCTTGTATTGTACGATCTAATACGATATAACATTTATTTAAATAACATTTGAACATCTTGTAATTAGAAAAAAATAGTTACCGCATTACAAATTGTATTTTTAATTGTTTATATAATTGTATCATATTATTGAAAAATTAATTCTCCTACTTCTTTGTTAATTTTACGAACATCTCCATCAAGATATATTAAAAATTAAAAACAGTTGTAAGATGTTAAACTGTTGTAACTGTAAATACCATATATTTTTTGAATAAATATTCTTTACATATGGAACATTTTTTTTTGGTATTGTAATTTCCCAAAATTTGGAATATCTTACGATTACTATTACAACTAGTTCAACAATATATGGACATACTTAGACATCTAAAAGAAATTGCATTTTGAATTTTTCAATTTCTGCTGATTATTTATTATTAACATTTTCAAGAAGGACATTTAAATATTATTTAGAGGAAACTATAAATCAGTTTATATTTTTAATAAAAAAGACAAAGCAGAAGATAAAGATGTCACAGAATAAAAACGACGAATATTCTTTTGATCCTTAAGAGACACGAAAATTGAGAGAAATGGGCGAGCGATCGGCGATATTCGACAACTGTCACGGAGACGAAGCGGAGCGAGTGGTGGACACGACGCAGCATTTGTCGCACAGGAGGCGTCGCGACGCGACGCACGCGCGTCTGTTAATATAAATTGAGCGCCCTCAGAAGGTGCACGATGGCTTAAATTTGGTGCTCAGTCGCGCTCGAGGTGGCTCACCTTGATGATCGCGCAACTATGCGTTTTTCTCGCTTCATTCTTGCATCCACGATGTAATGCTTTTTCGGCACGTGGTGTAGCTCAAGTTCAAAGTCTTGTGAATAAAATGCATTCATCAGTCAATGCATTGTTGTGTTATTTGAATGATTTGTCATGGGACGAAATGATGATAGCGGTGCAGAGACACGCGTTGCGGTAACGCCGGCCGATCGGCTTTGCCGGGGGGAAGTCAGCTTGGGGATCTTGACACTTCTGCTGAAATAATACAGATATTGTTTATAAAAACGTGTAGAAAAAATTGAACGATTTTTAAAAATCGTAATCTATCATGTGATAAAAAAAACTCGTAACGTGTTCGAAGTAAAATAACGTGACAAATGTAAATCGGTTAGTTGCAAACATTAATTGATGGTCGAGAAAAATGTTTCAATGGACAACGTGATAAATTGTACGAATGGTAAGACGAATTTTTTCAATAACGAAGTAGTTTTATTAAGAAACGGATCCTTGTCCGTCGTTGAAAAGTAATATGTGTATTTTGGCAGACATTGATAACATGATTAGTATCGATTTTGCATACAGATGAAGATATCAGTCAGTGATTAGGAATAATTTTAGTGAATGAAGTTGTACAATTATTTATACAGTTGATTAATCTAACGCTAAATAAGAGAATTTTTCATCAATCACGGGTTTATTTTGTTCTATAAAAATTTAATTTGGTATAAATAAAACGTTGCATCATTCTTTTTGGAATTCAATTCTGGACGCACAATGAGCTTACAATCTTGTGGCCCGCTTAGTAGATTTCATTCGTGTTAGCTAAATGAGTTTCTGTGAATACGGTAAAAAGATTTCGCTGGTTAGACCTAATTCTCAAGCTTCTTAGCTGCAGATGAATAGAATAATTTCAAAAGCGTGCCACTGCTTGAAAATTTTACCGATCTCTGGAGAATTCTCGATGATCTCAATTATCTTTCAAAATGTCAATTATTTTCGTCTCTGATATGCACATGTAGGACGAAAATGATTTAAATTTTGATCTTTGTACAATAGTAAAATACGACTCTAAAAACGGTGTATAAATTTCCATGGAGAAATATATTGTCCATGGAAAATTTCTAATATTGAGAATGATTTAATATGTAGGACTCTTTATTATCTTACTTCCTTCCATTCCACGGAACTGAATGTTCTCTTTTTGTCCTCCATTGTTGCACAACGCGTATTCTTCTCCGGAGAGAGGTAAAATCAGTTCGTACCTCACAATGGTTTTGTGAAACAATATCTTTTAAAACGAATAGGAGTATTCGTTAGCTTTATCTTTGTCAATGGCAATGTTAAAAAGCAAAATCTAAACGAAATCAAACTAACTGAATTGTCTAATAACGCAACAAGATTCGAAGCTATCGCGTTAGATCATTATTACCTGAAGATCGAGATATTCTTCCTTAAGAAAAATATCGCGATTCGTTATTGTCGATACTTACCATTGTTTAAAAATACAACGATATTAGCTGTATGTGCGCGGAGTCTACGCGAAGAACATACGATTTATTGTGTTAATCGTTGCAATCGTTTTCCTGTCGAAGTCCAACGAGAACGAACTCGTATGTACAGAACTTTTTTTCGCGACGCTGTAAGACGCGTAATTGATTTTACGTATCGCTAATCTGATTCAGTTTCGATATCGCGGAACGCGATGCGTTGCCGTCGTATCGCGAGCGAAGATTCGTTTGTTCGGAGAGAACGGAGTTCAAACGGTTTCCGATAAAGTTTGCTCGCGAGGAGGATGGAGAAAATCGGTGGTCTGCCGGAACTGAGTTACGGAAATGCGCGTCGACGACGACCTCGACGATGCGACCGGCGTTCGTGTCGATTTCCAAAGAGATCTCGGAGTAAAGTTCAAGTACGCATCGCTCGGTGATTCGAGGACGATTGAGCCGGTGATTGCGCTCCTCGTTGATCGGTGGATTGCGTCCGATTGAATGGAAAATAGAAAGAACCAAACCAAGATCCTGAAGAAGAAATGCCTGGTATCGTGGTATTCCGACGCCGATGGAGCGTCGGCAGCGACGATCTCGTTGTGCCTGGTGCTTTCCTATTCATCCTGCATTTGATATGGTGAGTGAACATTCTGATATTAATAACGGGCCTCGATCAATCACTTTGTCCCGCTATAACCGTCGTTATTTTCAGCAGTTTCAAGAATTTTCAATGTTAATAGCGCGAAAGAGGTTCTTGTATTTATAGGAACTCTTTAAAACAGGATATGTCCAGGGATAAATTCACTTGGCCTACATTTGTCCATAGCATTGCCTATACGTATTTCGATTAATTTCGATAGAGAAATTCTCAGAATGCATAATTTCCGCCATTTAATTACTATCGTAACTCAATAATTGATCTGCCTCCTCTCTCATCCTGTAACCACTTAGATTCCCTTAATTCGTACAATCTTCGAATATACGTATCTACGTACGAATTGAAAAATTAATTTATTAAACATGATTGGTCTTAGCGTACAAGGAAAAGAGAGAGGAATTTTAATTACTATATCCTTAAGTTTCCCTCTCTTTGCAGGCCAATTTCAAGGGTTTAGTCTAATTTACAAAATCTTCTCTCGTGAGACGTAAACATTATGAGGCAATGAAAAATTGTCCCATTGAGGACATTCGTTTGCTCTTGAGCCATGTTTTACACGATGGTACTGTTTTAGTTTAATTTAATTAGCAATTAAACTAAAACGTCTTAACTTTAATTACTGCTTGGGGGCATTTCTGAACTATATACATAGTTCAACTGTAGATACGCACGTAGCGATTCATTTTGGTACGCAGCAAATGTTGCATTATTCGAATTATTAAATTCAATTAAATTTAACTAATTCAATTAAATTCTATTCCAAATTACTAGTTCGAGATTAAATTATTTTAATATTATTACATATTTCTGTTACTAGTTCTATTCTATTAGTAGGATTACCACTGGTATTTCTTTGATAATATTTTTAAATGCGTTTTTAGTTCTCTCTCTCTCTCTCTCTCGTTTCTTTGACACTCTTTGGTTCTACAGCTGTAAAATTTTTATAAAACGTTTTTTCAGGTAAATATCTTTCAAAAAACTTCTTTGAAAGATCTTTTTAATAATTCTGCGATTCCTGTTGGTCGTAGCTTAATTACAGATTCAAGTCAAAAACTAGACCTATACATTTTCAGAAAATTGCTTGTGCTGAAATCTGGTACGTTTTTATCAGAGCGTTGTAATTTATCGTTTGTTTAAAGCAAATTATTAGGCATCGATACTCCCAGACTTATTATTAGCGATGATCAAAGGGTAGTTTTCGCGTGATGGCACGACAGCACCATATGTCTTAGCTTTGGAAAACCGTTAACAAACGCGGCAAATGACCCGGTATAGAGAGGAATAACGATAGCAGAGAAATTGGCGATCGTCCATTTCTCTTTGGTCATCTTTATAAACCTACGATACCTCAATACGTCTCGATACATCCATGGCTGGAACGTAGACTCTACCTTCATTCGTTGAGAGACGCAACGTAGTCGATAAAATTTCAATTAAAACAACGTCTAGCCATTGTTGATGTTTGTACGGTCTTTTGAACGAATGTACAATCAATTTTCTGTTATCTCACGTATTGTTTTACCGACTAGCTGCGGACGACATCGAAACTATATCTCGGCCAGTTAACGTCGCGTATTTCATCTCTAGACGCAGATTCTTCGTCACACACCAAGCGTCTGTTTTGTTATTTATTGTTTTACTATCAATTATTTGAACTATGTAGACGTATATCGACGTACTAAAATAGAATTCATCTGCGATGTTCAATATCTCATTTTCTTTCACGTAGATATATTAAGCACATGATCTGAAAAACATGCAATCATTTTTTTCAGTACTTGAAAAAAAATTCCAGGAATTTTTCTTTTATATTTCTTTCTTTCTTGATAATTAATATTTATAAGAGCTTAAAACTTTCAAAAAATTAAATGATAATATAATCGTAATATGATATGATGATATGACATGGTGATACGGAGTTCATAAATATAGCATTGTCGAAAAATAATTAAAAAATATGAACAGATATTTTATCGCAACGTATATGATATCAAAGTTATCTAAAAGTAATTCTATTTTCTAACAAAGATTAAACACATTGTTCAAATATTTTTCAATCTTCTCACTGAATTTATTTCTTTTCCATTTTTTCAATTACGCTGGCAAGAAATATAATTCATTGTTTGTTGAATTTACTCCCATTTTAATAAAGAAAATTGAAATGATTAATAAAATAAAAAATACATATAAAAAAATCTACTGTCATAGTATCGATTTTTCGAAACTGATTTACAATCCAATGTAAACAAATAACATTATCACTAAACTACGGATATTCATAGCACTATAACGAATAATATACTTACTTTGGATGTTTCATACATTTTTCCGTATCATGTCAATTTTTATAATTTTTGTACTTCTTAATTTCCCTTCTTAGTTTTCACTATTTTAAAACAATAACGATCCGTACCGTTCGAATATTTTAAATTCAAAAAACGAACTTACCGCAAAGTGATTTCAGGATTCTCCCCGTTTCTTTTCTGCACAGCACGGATCGAGCGGATCGTTTCGTTCCGCGTTTCGGTGATTCAGTGTATCCGTGACAGCCGACTGGTCACGAGGTTCGACGGTTTGGTTGTTCGTTTCACGAGGTATACACCACAAGCCAGTCGCTGGACGCGTTAATCGCGTTGCTTGTGCCGGTATATAGGTTATGTCATCGTGCGTGAATGTTTTTTCTTATATACGAGGACAATTGCTCGGGCGAGCCACAAAACTGAAGCACGAAAGATGCCGGCTCTCGTCGCGTTCGGCAGACGTTGGCGTATTGGCAGTGACGATTTGCTCATACCGGTTGCCACCTTGGCTTTCATTCACGCGGTCGAGTAAGTATAGACATCTGCAAATATAATTACGTTAAAACAGTTGCAAATTTATTCGTAGCATGCATCACTTTATGAGTGCATTATCGTGTTACATTTTGTCAATACTGTTGAGTCGCTTACTTTTCACAATCGAAGGATAAATTTATACGTGTTGCCACCATTTTTTTTTTCCGCGCTGTGATCGATGAACTAAGGTCGATAGTTGTGGAACAGGTTCGAGTTTAATGATCGATATTTTACGACATTTGAGATTTCGATAGTTCGTTGAAGTACCCGAGAAATCCATGGTGTTGAATGGAGAATGAAATGTGAAATATTTTATACGTGTATATATTTAATAATATGTCGATTTTATCAGTTTTGCATAATTATATCAAGGATATTAAGAACTGCCAAATTCAGATGTCGTGCAAATATCACCGATAACATTGGCGTGCAACGTGTTACTTGAGGTATTATATTCGTTAATCCAACTTAATTTTACACATTGATTCTATTTCGTAAGTCATGTAGGAAATTCTATACAAAATGGGGTAGAAAAGTAGTGTATTGAATTATGGCGGGAACATAACGCCAGTGCTGCGCTGTAACATGCGGAACACACGATGCATCGTTAATTTTCCTACCCTTTCCACCCTTTTAAAGTTCCTGTAAACCCATACACGTCGTAAGAGGTTTTCTGAAAATTGAATAACAATGTTAAATTAAATTACTTTGTCACGATAAAACGATCAATAGTCGATGCAATTCTTTTTAAAATCTTAAAGATCAATAGTATATCAACGAGTGCTAATTAATTGAGTGACAGATCCTTCATTTATTTTCAACGATAATGTTAGATTGCTTAATATTTTAAATTATCTCTTTCTTTTCTCAATTGATATTGCATTTTCTTTTCGCATTCTTCGCATCCTTATTAAAAATATACAAAGTATTAATTACCCTAAGTATATGTATATATATTTTCTTAAATATCAAGTCTTCATGCATCATATGATTGCTGTTCTACAATTACGCTTCTATTTAATAATAACGAATGAGTATGCTCTAAAATATGTATTTATTACATAGTCAACGTCATTTTTTTTTATAATGATATGATAATGATGTAGCGTTTATGTGATAAGATAAACTGAAATGAATGAGAGAGAGATATGTAAGTAGGCGTTGCGATATAGCGTTAGGATATCGTTGACCTCTCCACGATGCGTTCAGATGTTAACGAAAATCTTAAATTTGTTGCAAATTTTTTTGCTTGATTTTTTGGAAACGCGGGCATACACTGTATTCAAAGAAGAAACGTGAAATTTACACGTGGGTGATAACATCACCTCAGATAATGACGATTGCGCGACAAACAAGGCGAGGGTAATCTGTCGTCGTTTACAACGTTTCTCACTTTCCCGACGAGGATCTTGTACGTCGTTCCGTGGGGTACGTTTGAGACGGTAAATAGATTTAACGTGAACTCGACCGCGACGTCGTGCAAGATCGTCGGGCTTCTTTAGAAAGCGGCAAAGCGACGCGAGAGACACGCATCCGGTTCCTCTGCTTAAAATGCAATTTCCTCGTTTTTTTCTTTCCTTTCCGCGAGAAGGAAAAGAAAGGGGAGGAGAGGAGGGGGAAGGGACTTTCTCCTTTAAGTATATTCCTTTCCTTTTCTTTTTCTTCGTTCGTTCCTTCTCTGTTGAAGGATGAAAGATTCATGAAAATCGGGCAATGCGAGCACACACGTTTTGCAAGCCGATTAAATTTCAAATTCGCCGCAGCGAAGCGTCCCCGGCGTCGATAACACTCAACCCGGTATAAATTCCACGAGAAAATGCTCGTGACATTGAAGAGGGAACGGTGAATTTACTGCAAGTGCAACCGATAAAACTTTCTTTTGCCAATTGCGTTGCGTGCGCGACGATTTTATACCCGAGTGTTCTTTTGCAATTGTAGCGTGAAAATAGTTATATACAGTGTGAAAATTGTTACTTGTGTTCTTCCCATTTGTAAACAATGAAAAGGAAAAATATTATGAATAAATTCCTTTCCGAATTGAAATTCTTGGTTCGAAATGAAGTTTGTAGTTGTGAAGGTATGCTAGAAATACAAATCGGTCGTGAAAACTTTGTTGAGAGTATGAACGTGTAATAGTTTAAATTA